ATAAAAAAAAAAAAAGGCATAGGAAGAATACAGGCCATGCAAATATACACACACCATAAGGGGCAACCAATATCTTCTCATTTTGAGATCAGCAAACCGGATTGCTGTTCTTCTGCTTGTTGAAGCTACAGACCTCTGCCATCCAAAAATAAAATAAAAATTCAAACAATATCTGACTTGTCAATTTTTTAAGAAATTGATTTTAGAGTGTCCACAATCATCACATGACAAGGTTAGACACAAAGTAGTGCAATAACAGAGCAAACATCAAGCTCCCCTTCGTTTGCTGGCTTCGTAAAGTTAACTGAGATTTTTACCTTGATTTCATTTACTTCAAGGGAAATGTCAGTGGATTTTTCGTAAAGTTAACTGAGATTTTTACCTTGATTTCATTTACTTCAAGGGAAATGTCAGTGTCAAATCCACGCAGCACTTGTAGAGAGGCTTCAAAATCATCCATCATCCCCATTTTAGCCTAATTTTCACATGGGAGATAAGAGTTTGAAGCTAGTATCTATTTTATGAAGAAAAAAAAATAACTGGATTAGATTTTTGTAGCCTCCTCACCAACCACCTAGGAGATTCAGGGATGAAAAAGAGGCCAGGTATCAGTATTAGACAAGGTAGTGTTCCTGTGAAAAAGATATAGATATAAGTTACTCACTGCAAAAAATTCTTAGACAAATACATCGTTTATGAAATCGGGACAAATTAACTAAAATCCGCAAGACCAAAAAGAATAACTAAAGATGACATTATACAGCCTTTAAATTAAATTTTCATACAATTCATGGTTCTACAATATAGATTAAAAATAAATGAAGTATATTCTTAACAATATAGTGAAGATAACCTAGAATTGCGAGAATTCTCCAGCCAACAAACAGTCCCAGCAGATATGATAGCATTATCCCAATGGTTACAGAGAGCTAAACCACAAAAGTTGAGTATAATTACGCCGCATCTTGTAACGAAGCACATATATGTCAACATAAATTAGCGTTAATTAAAAACCTGGTTCACCGAGCCCAGAGCACCTCTGAGATTTTGAGGAGCTATCTCAGCTATGTATACAGGCACCTATAAGAAGATGGAAGTTAAAAAAATATATATAGGTATAAACTGTCAGGATTCTTTTCACAGCCGAAAACTATCTACATAAAAGAACCACAGTCCTTACAGTGTAAGATATTATGCCCACACCAAATCCTTCCAATAGTCTTCCCATGTAAAGAAACGAAAAATCCTGGTGTCATTGANAAAAAAAAAAAAAAAAAGAATGGCTGATAAGAAACAAAATGTTGATGTTAGATAAAAGTAGATGGCGGGAAAGGATTAAACAGAATCTCACTCTGGCAAATGATATTGCAAGCCAACCGATGATGTTAGGTATGGCAGCGATCATTAGAGACTGCAGGTTAATGAATTGGACAAAAATTTAAGATTGCACCACGAAAATACAAAGTATCTATAATTTTAGTTGGTAAGAACAAAATAATCTCATTACCCCTTTTCGACCAATGTACTCGGCAATCTGGCCACTGGCTATTGCACCAACCATAGCTCCCACATTTGACAAAGAACCAAATATGGAGAACTGTTCCAATAATTTTGAATTGTTAAGAAGAAAAACTAAGCTACTCTTATACGTTTGTTATAGGAAATAAATTATATATTTACAAAACCTGTGAGACTGTGAGCTGGAGATCATTTGTGAGAGCAGACTGAGTTGGTGAAGAGTAACCGCACTACATGATCAAGAAAATTGACCAGTAGTTTAGATCATATTTAGTAGCACAAGCCATCAAGGGAGAAAAATAGTTATTCTAGACTTAGTAATTTATATCTCAGGAGCCAAATGGGACTTGAGGACTTGTGGTATGATGGATTTTAAGACTCCAGAGCTCCAATAAAACAGAAAATAGAATAATAAAGAAAAAATAAGATCAGCTAATACATTTAAGACGTAGCCAAGCAGCTCACGATACAAAGTTCAGTAAGTACTAAAACCATCTTGGATATGAAAATTTTCATGCTTTTAAGTTCAGTTTCAGTTGCAAGTGATGTAAGATGCACTTCATGGAATTTAAATTCCACCATTAAGCATCAGGCGCCATTTGGAGAATGTTGAAATGGGATAACAATATAAGAAAAATCTGCTTCTGTGGATGTATTCTACCCAGAAACAAATAAGCTAATCGACCTTAAGCAATTAGGCAATAGAAAATGAATACCAAGAGTTAGCAGATAATAAACGAAAAAGTGCATCAGTTACTTTATCGGAATGCACTTAGTTGAACTACTATATGTACCATTAACCTTAACTAGCCCCATTTTGAAAAGTGCAAGCTCAGATTATATTTGTTCAAGCTAGCTTTTCATTTCCAGCAACCAAAGCAGTCAATCCTTCACAAGCTCAAATTCCTTTAGCTCCTCTACATTCACAAACATCAATTGAAACAACAAACAANAAAAAAACATCAAGAGAGATAAGAAAAAGATTACGGTGAAGCCAAACTGGACAGGACCCAAAGCCACAATCATGACACAGGCCAAGACTGAGATGGAACTATCCCTAATAACTTGTGAGGAGCCCATCAAGCTGGACTGCCTCGACCCCATTCTGTACCAACTCCCCGTGTGTAAAAATGGCTTCCTCAGATCTCCCCTCCCATCTTCTGCTTCATCCCTGAAACTCATCTCTCCTTTTGATTTCTAACTCAGAATTTCTTAAAAGATGAAACTTTTAATCAAATAAAATGAAAAGCCCGATCAAGAAAATGGATTTTCCGGTAGGATTCTAGAAGTTGCAGGAATTTGGGAGTTTATGAGCACTTTGCGATGTATGAGGCGAGTGTTGCGCTGGCAGCGTATCGGTTTCACGTTTCAGACTGCAATTCTTATGATTAATGGGAAGATATGTATGATATGGGCAATATTTTTTGTTGGTGTTATAAATAGCCTAACAAGAGTTGTAAAGGACAGATATTGATAAGAAAGCGGGCTGACTGTTCATCAACAGATAAGAAGACCGCCACCCACGTCACCTATAGACTCCGTTTATGCATAAAAACAATCCAATTGTTATAAAGACGGAAAGATAAAGAACACAATATAGAAACTGGATATCACTTATACTCAATTTTCTTCTTCCTTCTGTACATTTTCATTGCATTTCGGGTGCCTTTTATAGGCAAACTTTCCCGACATAACATATAATAATTTACACCACATTCATATCTATTACTATTCCCATTTATTCAAATAGTGAAGTCACTATTCATGCATAGTGGTTCATTCCACTTATTTATAACACTCCCCCTTGAAATTACCACTATGCAATGTGCGTTTATGCTGCCTCATTAAAAACCTTATTCGGAAAAACCCTGTGGGAAAAAACCGAGATAAGGAAAAAAGAGTACAGCCGCACATGCTCCCCCTCGAGTTATCATCCGTGTAAATCTCGAAGATGTCTCATTCCAATGTTATGGACGTGCTTTCGAAATGTTGTAGTTGGGAGCGCCTTCGTAAATAAGTCTGCTGCATTATCACATGATCGGATGTATTGAATCTTGATCTGTTTGTTCCTTTCAAGCTCTTGAGTGTATGAGAAGAACTTTGGTGGGATATGTTTAGTTCTGTCACTCTTGACATATCCTTCTTTGGTCTGAGCGACACATGCTGCATTGTCTTCGAATATGACCGTCGGATCTTTATTATTTGATAATCCACTGGCTTGTTGAATGTGTTGAGTCATATTTCTGAGCCAGATGCTCTCCCTAGTTGCTTCATGCAGTGCAATGATTTCAGCATGATTTGAAGATGTAGCAACTAGTGTTTGTTTCTGAGAACGCCAGGAAAATGCAGTTCCACCAATAGTGAAAACGTAACCAGTCTGAGATCTCGCCTTATGTGGGTCTGATAAATATCCTGCATCTGCAAAACCGGTCATTTCATGTTTTTTATCATTTGAGTAAAATAACCCCATATCGATTGTTCCTTGGAGATAACGGAATATATGCTTGATTCCATTCCAGTGTCTCCTCGTAGGTGACGAGTTATATCTTGCTAACAAGTTGGTAGCAAAAGATATATCTGGTCTGGTGCAATTAGCAAGATACATAAGAGCCCCTATTGCACTCATATATGGTACCTCAGGACCAAGTATTTCTTCATTTTCTTCACAAGGTCGAAATGGATCCTTTTCAACATCCAATGTTCGGTTAACCATAGGAGTACTAAGGGGATTAGCTTTGTCCATATTAAATCGTTTCAGTACTCTTTTAGTATAGTTAGATTGATGGACGAATATCCCATTTTGTACTCTCTCTATCTGTAAGCCAAGGCAATATTTAGTTTTTCCGAGATCTTTCATTTCAAATTCGCCTTTCAGAAAAGTAACTGCTTCTCGAATTTCATTTGCTGTCCCAATAATATTAAGATCATCAACATAGACAGCAATTATCACAACTCCATCATGTGATTTCTTTATGAAAACACACGGACATATTTGATCATTCAAGTATCCCCTTTTTAGTAATTGTTCACTCAAACAATTATACCACATACGCCCGGATTGTTTTAAGCCATACAATGATCTTTGCAACTTTAACGCACATAACTCCTTAGGTTTTGAGTTCAGTGCTTCGGGCATTCTGATTCCTTCTGGGACTTTCATGTATATGTCGGCGTCTAATGATCCATACAAGTAAGCAGTCACAACATCCATGAGACGCATCTCAAGATTTTCATGGGTAGCTAAACTCATCAAGCATCTGAAAGTAATTGCATCCATGACAGGGGAATATGTTTCATCATAATCGATCCCAGGCCTTTGTGAGAATCTCTGTGCAACAAGGCGAGCTTCATATCTCGTGATCTCATTATTCTCATTTCTTTTTCTGGTGAAAACCCATTTGTATCCAATGGGTTTTATGCCTTTTGGTATAATGGAAATAGGCCCAAAAATTTTTCGTTTATTTAGTGAATCTAACTCGGCTTGAATGGCGCCTTTCCATTTATCCCAGTCACGTCTTTTCTGACATTCAGCTACAGATTTTGGTTCAGGATCCTCAACTTCATTATCAATTTCTTTTGATACCATATATGCGAATGCATCATCATTATTCATGATCTCATCACGCTTCCAAAGATTCCCATTGTTCACGTAATTGATGGAAATCTCAATATTTTCATTTTGTCCCGAAATTTTTCCATCATCTTGATTCCTTTTCAAATTGGAGTCAAGAATTTCTCTTTTCTTTCGAGGATTCTTATCTTTAGACCCGACTGGTCTTCCTCGTTTTAAGCGTGTCTTTGACTCATTTGGCTTATCGTCATTTGCCATTTCTTTTGGAATCTCAATTCGAGCAGGGGCATTTACGGCTACCACATGTGATTTGGTCACCCTTTTTAAATCAGTAAATGCATCTGGCAATTGATTTGCAATATTCTGCAAATGTATGATCTTTTGAATTTCTTGCTCTCTTTGTTTGGTGGGAGGATCAAGATATGATAATGCGGATGTTCTCCATTCAATATTTCTCTCAATTGACTTTTCATTCCCACCTAAAGGGGGAAACAATTCTTCATTAAAATGACAATCATCAAAACGAGCTGTAAAAACATCACCTGTTTTTGGCTCATGGTATTTGATTATTGATGGAGATTCATATCCAACATATATTCCCAACCTTCTTTGAGGCCCCATTTTTGTACGTTGTGGCCGAGCAATTGGTACATATACTGCACAACCAAAAACTCTTATATGTGCAATATTTGGTACTCGACCATATGCCAACTGTAATGGCGAGAATGTATGGTATGCACTTGGTCTTATTCGAATTAGATCATCTGCATGCAGAATAGCATGTCCCCATACTGAAGTGGGGAGTTTTGTTCTCATTATCAATGGTCTAGCTATAAGCTGCAGTCGTTTAATAAGTGATTCTGCTAGACCATTTTGAGTGTGAACATGTGCCACAGGATGTTCAACATCAATTCCCACAGCCATACAATAATCATTAAATGCTTGAGATGTAAACTCTCCAGCATTATCCAGTCTGACTCTCTTGATAATATAATCTGGGAATTGAGCCCTTAATTTAATAAGTTGGGCAAGTAATTTAGCAAATGCCATATTTCTAGTGGATAACAAACTTACGTGAGACCATCTACTAGAGGCATCAACCAACACCATAAAATATCTGAATGGACCACAAGGTGGATGAATAGGTCCACATATATCACCATGAATCCTTTCTAAAAATAATGGTGATTCATGTCCGACTTTAGTATGTGATGGTCTCATTATCAATTTCCCTTGAGAACAAGAGGCACATGTCAACTCATGTGTTTGCAATATCCTCTCATTTTTTAGTGGATGGCCACTAGAATTTTCAATAATTCGTCGCATCATTATCGAGCCAGGGTGACCAAGTCAATCATGCCAAAGTTTAAATATTTCATTCGACTTTGAATTTGTTGCAGCATATGCCTCAATTATATTAATCCGGGTATAATACAAACCCGAGGATAAAGCGGGTAACTTCTCCAAAACACATTTATTTCCCGCATTATCTGAGGTAATGCAAAGATATTCAACTCCCCCTTTATTCATCGTTTCAATGTGGTATCCGTTCGTTCGGATATCTTTAAAACTCAACAAATTTCTTGTTGATTTTGGGGAGAATAGTGCATCACTTAATATAAATTTTGTACCGCCCATCATAAAAAATATGGCTTTTCCAAAACCTTCAATTATCTTTGCACTTCCGGATATTGTGTTTACTTTTGCTTCATTTAATTTCAAGTTCACGAAATATTTTCTGTCCTTGAGGATAGTATGAGTAGTAGCACAATCTGCAATACATATATCTCCATCTTGAATTCGAGACCGATCCATGATCTAAAAGAAAACAACATTTATTATTGATCAAATTCAAAGTACAGATACAAGTAGCTCATACACAAATACATTACAACTCAAAAAGCAAAATAAGAACATGATCATCAGTTATTCTCTAGGTCATTTCCAGCTCCGTCTTCAAATGCCGCATCGGCAAAATCCAATTTCAATATGTCATCGATGCCATAGTCATCATCCACACGCGTTGCATCATTTTCAGAGGATTCCCCAACCATAAAATTAGTTTCTATATTCTTATCTTTTGATTTCTGGGAATCTTGGTATTTTTCAACCTCGTGCCTTGGGGCTCGACAATTTCGAGCCCAATGGTTATTTCTACCACATCGATAGCATGCCTTTTCATCGTTATCCCCTTTATTATTTTCAGAATGTTTATGAAAATCATTTTTTCCATGTCCATGATAATTACCTCGGCCAGATTTGTATCCTGGGGAAAAATTTCGGCCTCGTCCATAATTTCTATCTGGACCATATCCACGGCCACGTCCACGTCCACGTCCACGTCCACGACCACGGCCACGTCCCGAGGTATATCCACGCACATTTGTTTGGCTGTTTTGATTTCCGGTTCCCTGTTTAGATATTACAGCATTTATTTCAGGGACCGCAGTAGACCCCGTGGGTCTAGATTCATGATTTTTCATCAACAACTCATTATTTTGTTCGGCTAGCAACAAGCAAGAAATCATCAGAATATTTCACAAAGCCTTTTGCTCTGTATTGTTGCTGCAAAAGTACGTTTGAAGCGTGGAATGTGGACAACGTTTTTTCAAGCATATCGTAATCAGTTACGTTTTCCCCGCATAATTTCAATACCGAGCAAATGCGGAACATGGTCGAATTGAACTCGTTTACAGTTTTAAAATCTTGGAAGCGTAAGTGCATCCATTCATAACGAGCCCGGGGGAGAATTACTGTTTTCTGATGATCGTATCTTTCTTTCAAAGCTTTCCAAAGATCCGCAGGATCTTTCACAGTTAAGTATTCATTTTTCAATCCCTCATTTAAATGATGCCGCAGAAATATCATTGCTTTAGCTTTATCTTGTATTGATGAATTATTTGAGGAGATTATTGTTTCTCCCAATCCCCTCGCGGCCAAATGAATTTCGGCATCCAGTGTCCATGAAATATAATTTTTTCCCGAAATGTCAAGAGCCTCAAATTCAAGTTTGACCAGATTTGCCATGATAACTATAAAATAAAACATCAATGCTTATATTAGAGAAAATTACATTATACAATCATTAATTCTCCATAACGTACAGAAAAACAAATAAGAGACACATCATACAAAAACCTAATACATAAAGTATAAATTCAGTGGTATGATACATCATCGTGAAAATTCCCAAAGTGTAAAAAATAAACAATATAATGGTAATTATAAATAGTAGATGAAACATTTTTTTTCGTTTGAGGGAAATATATTTTAGTATTTGAAATGAGTGTTAATATATGAAGTGTAGTGTGATATATATATAAGTTGATAAGTAGCCGTTGTAATATAGCCGTTATGTAGCCGTTGGGAACAAATTAATGATATAATATTTGTTAGTTAATCATTCATGATTATAAAATACTAATTAATCATGTATATTGTCTTAAAAATTCATCGAGCCACTATGTGAACAATTTAATGAATATAAGTGTCAAAACAAATAAAAATGTCACTCCACACTACTCGATAAATCTTTCGGTAGGTACAAATATAAGCAGTTATAAATTTCACACCACATTACTGGGTAAACCCTTTTGCGGGTGTGAAGTACAAGTAATAATATTATATATTTTTAATTATAACATGAAGTCATTTCTTAATCATTAGTAATCCATAAGTAAATTTGATAATATCAACTTACCACATATTATTGACTATGGCAGAGCCGTACTTGCCAATAATAATGGTAGTATGTAAATTAGTATAATGTTATATTTAGTATATTCATACCACATATTCTTGACTATGGCAGAGCCGTACTTGTCAAAAATAATGGTAATATGTAGATTAGTAAAATATACTAATTTTATGTAATGTATATACATATTAGTATATTCCTACCTTTCGGACCGGGTAGAGCGTTCGTGCTGATAACGTGTTATAAAGACGGAAAGATAAAGAACACAATATAGAAACTGGATATCACTTATACTCAATTTTCTTCTTCCTTCTGTACATTTTTATTGCATTTCGGGTGCCTTTTATAGGCAAACTTTCCCGACATAACATACAATAATTTACACCACATTCATATCTATTACTATTCCCATTTATTCAAATAGTGAAATGTCACTATTCATGCATAGTGGTTCATTCCACTTATTTATAACACCAATAGAGTTAATCATTCATTTTTTACTTCATTTAATAAGTGGTGCTTCTTGACGAACACATTAACACACGTAGAATATATTATTCTATTAATACGTTTATACTAATATAAATTTTATTTAAAATATATATTTATTCTTTGATATAAGATAAAATAAAAATTATTCTTATTCTTGTTCACTATAAAATACTCAATATTATTTTATTATAAAATTTATTGTCTTTTTAATGCCATTATTAATATTAATAAAAGTTATAGAAATAGTTTTATTCTTCTTAATTTATGTAATTAAATATATTTAATGTATATAATATTACTTTAGACTTAAGGTAATTAATTTAAATTTATGTAAATAAATTTAAAATAAAATAATGTGAAATAAAGGTTTACAAAATACACACAAATGTTTTTTAGACTTTAATTTTCTCATAATAATTTAAAATTTTGATTTATAAATTGCTAATAAATAAATTCCTTATATAATGAAGAGATTTTTCTAATTTGCATCTCAAGGTTTTATAGTTTATTTAATGTAATATGCAATGAAAATATATTTTACGATAAATTCATTATGGAAAGAAATCAAAATAAACAAAAATGATAAAAAAAATATCATGGTTGGCAATAATATACAAATAAATCATATGTTAGAATTTTAAAAAATAGATAATATATTTTAATTTTATTATCTTGTCATTAGTAAATTTATTAAATGTATTTGATCATTATCTCTTAAATGGTAAATTATTTTAATTTGTAGACTTTTTATAATATAATTAAATAGAGGTTAAAAAAATTATTGGTAGCTTGATTTCACCTAATTAGTTGGAAGGAGAAAATTACCTAACATGTTACAATTGTTTATAAATATTTTAGGATGAAAGTTAATATTTGTGAAATTATGTTTACCAAAATATTAACAACGTGAATTATGAAAAATTAAATTGTAGTTTATTATAATGTATATCAATAAAATTATTTCATATATTAATAAAATTATTTAATTAAAAAATCTTTTTGATCATATCAATAAAATTATTTAATTAAAAAATCTTTTTGATCATATCTAATTTGAAAATGTATATATGCAAGAAACTAATGCATATATTTACAATGTTTCTAAATAAGGTATGCATTAAATAATGTCAGATTTTTTTGCTACTATTTTTGGTAAATAATTATTTCTTTTTATATTGATATAGATTATTGTTTTTGGATTCAAATCTCTCTATACTTTGTTTTGTGAGGTGTTTGACTCAATAAAATGTGAGTTTCAAGTCTCAAAATCAAGTTATAAAGTTAGTATAAAAAATACTTTTCAATCCATAATGTTATTGGCTCTTTTATGTGAACAATGATAAATTAAACTTCCAAACCATGAAGCCCACTTTCTAGTTTTTCACAGCATGTCTGAAAGCCCTCATCCAAAACCTAATTATTCGACTGGGAAAAATTTTGGCGGGTCGGAAAAAGTGAAAATTGAGCGTTATTTTCATAAAAAATTTACCTCATTTGTAGTCTCTCCATATTCTCTTGTTTAATCAACATTTTACAAATTGTTCATCCTAACTAGGCTCGAAGGAAAATAAGGTATGGGGCTTTTGTTTATTGCCTTTATTTTTACCAATTATGTAAAGTGAGAGGGAGAAAAGAAAGCATCACAACTTCAAAATATGGGTGAAACAACTACTATTCCCTCCGCCTTTTATCCTATTATAGGAACCAAGTCACTCGAGTTTCTCCTTCTATTTTGATTATATGATATATTTGTTATTATTTATTACTTTATTGGAGGTTCTGAATATACTGTGTAGAGGCAAGAAGTTGTCGGATGACAAGATTTTTATGCTCTAGTGGTTTCTAGCATTAATGTCATACGAATGCAATATGGGGTCCCCTGAACGATCTTGGGCTGACGACTCTGAACTCGGCCTTCTAGTTACCGAAAATCCATGAAACATATATCATGTGAACGCTTCGTTCTTAAGGTCACGTAGGTTAATTCGAATTTTGATTTTGAGGTGTCATATATATGTAACATGTCGCGTATGTTTTTTGTGTATCGTATGTTTAGATAAATATAGTTGCACACAATCTGTTTGATTTTTCTATTGTTTTGACCCTTGTATTGTAGTAGTTTTATCTTGATGTCTTCAAAGAACTTATAGAAGAGTCTGTCTTTTTTCTATAGGCACAAGAATTTCACAAATGTCCATTTTATACAGAAAGTTACTTTTAAAATACAATCAGCGCGTCGGTCTATTTTGTGTCAAACGTGATTGTGTTTTGTGTACATGTTTACGAGACTTTTCCATATAGCAACCATCCTTTTTTAATTCTAGTGTCTTCATAAAGTTGTATAGGTTTTTGTTGGTGATTAGTAGGAACAAGAATTACCTTAGTACCTATTTTCTGTCACAAATTATGTTCAAAATACAAACACCGTGCTAGCAGTTTTCTGTTAGTTTGGCAACAATTTTATTGTTGATGTTTGACCTATTTTCATCATCTTAACTTGCACATAAGTATTTGAAGTCTTTCCTAGAGAGTTGTAGTTCTGTCTCTTGAATTTTTCTAATTTTAAAAATTAGTCTAAAATATCTTTTATAGCAAAAGTTATGCTCATTATACGGGAACTGCGCATGAGTTATATGTTCAGTTTTTAGAGCAGTCGTGCTCTCTGTTTGGACATTGTTTACACCCTTTAAAAGTTTTCGTTTGTGTTTGATATCTAAATAAGAGTTTTATTTTATACACAGTAAAAAGTGAACATTCACTTGACCCTTTGGTGAATCATTGGACACGTGGCATGCTCCTTAAGGATCTGTTCCATGCAAGAGTGACGTGTGGCAGGACACCTTTCCAAGTAACCAACTGCTGTTAATAGGCTTTTGAAGAATCCTTAAGGAGATTATACCGGACGGTGTGAACCTATTCTGGACGGCGACTTGTTTCACATTTTGAGTAATGAATTCGACACGAAAGGAAGATGTATGTTGTTGTCGTTGTCGATGTGAAAATATTATATTCGCATCCGAAGCAATGATGTTAGCGTGAATCATACTTGGCCTAGAGTGAGATCGACATCGATAACTTTCAGACGCTCGGTGTCAATGTGTCTTGTGTATCTGAGTGCTGATGGGGCTCCAGAGTGTTGCCGATGTGACTTTATTACTGTTCTCAATTTTCACATCGACACCAATAAAAGACTAAACCAGATCGACAAAAAGCATCTTTAACAAATCTCAAGATCTCGGATGATATCGTGTGAAACTAACTTGGCAAGGATCTCTGAGTAGGTTGTTATTACTACTTATAGTAGATCGTCATTATGACTTATTAGGTCGTGAAAGAAACCCTCTTAGGTCATAGGACTTAAACCATCTTTCTACCTGCTCTAAACTTATGTTACCCATATACCGATGAACCATCAAACGATCTCTGACCGATACAACGTCCCTTATTAAATTGAAGACACGAAACGATGCTTGACCTATATAACGTTCCTTATTAAGACGAAGACACAAAATCAAGCTTCTATAGAATGCTATATCAACCGAATTGGTGAGTTATTTTACCAAATTTATTTCCCAACTCCGAAGCAAGGTCTATTTCTGAATATTAAAATAGAAAACAAAATTAGTTGAAGCAAAGGAACAAAAATATACACTTGCACATTTCACGCAAAAATAGCAAACAGATTACATAGACATGTTAATCGATCTTATAATTCTGCTTGAACCTTACTAATATTACACACACACACATATATATAGTATATATATTGTTTTTAATTTTCTTTTTCCAAAAACAAGACTGGTGGGTACTGGTGAAGCAGTTGAAAACAATCTCCTTTATGAAATTGTTGCATGCATGGGTTCGTATAAGCTCATCACTGCAGCTTGAGATTCTTCAAAAGCCTATTAACAAAAAGAAATGAAAAAAGAAGAAGAGTCAATGAAACTAGATATTGCATTATGCAAGATCTATAAAAGGGTACCGCAAAAGCCTATTAATTAAAGCTAATGAGGCTTTACAATTTGCTCAATTAGTCACACATATTTTCACGCCAAATATCATATTTCTATAAAGAAAATCAAAAACGGTTAAACTATGTAACCTATTTTTGAAAAGTAGGTCATTTCTTGATGTAAAAGTTTATATATTTCATTTCATTATTTCCATTCAAAAACTATGACAAGTTAATTAATTCGTGTAGCCTTAACTCGTTTAGATTCCCAATTGTATTCTCTGTGTATTTTTAATATTATCTCTAGGAGAGTATACACACATTTTACTCCAACCCCGTCATTTAGGAATAATAATAAAACCAAGAGAATATAAAGGATTTCATATTTTCATAAACAAATAGTCGTATCATGTGACGACCTTATCGTCCCACAAAAAAATAATATAAACAAATTCTACGTTGAGGTGGCGAGTAGCAAGCCGGCCATGTGCTCCGATCTAAAACTAGTAACATCACAGGTTTTGAAAATTTTCATGTTAAAAAAAAATAAATAAATAAAATAAAAAAAATCAAGAAACAAATAAGATGAAAAACTGATGAACAAAACTCTTAATAAGGATTAACTAATTTTTCATTAATTAATTACCTGTGTTCATTAGCGTACATTGTCCGGCTATTATTGGCTAAGGCCCTGTAATTGGGTATTGGGACTTGATCGGTCTCGATTTGCATGATGTCACGAACGAGCGCTTCATAGTGCCTTCGAACTTCCTCAGCCGATTTCCCGCCAATTGCTCGGGCTATGTTGTGCCACCTGTCAGGCGTGTCCTTGTCGAACATGGCTAAGGCCTCCTCAAATTGCTTGTTCTGCTTAGGTGTCCATGATGACACACGCGCTGATGTCATCGAGCTCGATGCCATGAGAGGAAGGAGGAGTTAGATTCCTTCAAGTACAAAAGTTGTGCTTGTTTTAGTGAAGGATTTGTCAAGGGAGAGGTCTTTATATAAGATGTGATGTTGGCAGAAGAATATTTATTATATTTTAGTTTTTTATTTATTTTTTTATTTTTTGGGAGTTGATGTTAATATGAAAGGGCAGAGACTCTGGCAAGAAGATGGAAAAGTGACTCTAATCAAGAGTACAAAAAGGCTTCTCTAAAGGGATGCTTGCATACAAAGATATCTGTTCAAAACGAGTTTTATTTGTCAACCATGATTAATTTTAGAAAAAATTGGTACAGTTATAAGCTATCAGTAGAATTTTGAGTTTATATAAAATAATATTTAAAATAAAATAACTAAAGTTGATTTGACGTAAAAGTATGAGAAAGAGTATGAGAAATGATGTTTAGTTAAAATCATGTGGTGGATAAATAGTGAATTAAATTTGATGTGATATATAAAATAATGATTATTTGATATTATTTAATTATATTGATAATATATTGAGGATAGTATAATTAAGTTAAAATTGAGTTATATTGTTATATATTGTGGATTAATTGAATATCAGTTAAAATAATTTATAAACAAACACACACTTAATTAGTTGTTTTGTGTTTGGATTCAATTTTTTTAGTTGTTGTTTTAATTCAGCTATTTTAGCTTATATTTAGTTTATAATCTTTTTTTTTTTTCTTAGTAATATCTTTATCAGTTCGAAAACAAAAAATAGTTGAACATTGTTTTCCTAATTATTTTTACATGAAAAGTCATTTTCTTTTCCTTTTAAAATATCATCATCAGCAAGTGGACTAAAATGGAGAATTATATAACCAGCTGGTGGGGATTAGATACCTGCAATTTTTTCAAGTTAAGATAGATGCGCCCGAACGACATGAAGGAGAATATACTCCCACAAATGACATTTCTTCCTTCTTTTTGTGGGATATTGTTCCCTCTTTTTCTTCCTTATCATATCTCATTTGGTTCAATGTTCTTATTCAGTTTTGATTTTACAGAACAAACTTGGTGCCTACTACCAAGTTGCATACTTATTTATTAGTTGCGCGTGTTTAGGAGCAATTCTAACCTATGCTCTATATATATCATATATTTGAAGTTAAAACTAAAGGGGTGTATTCAATTTAAACTTTTAAAAACTTTTTAAGATTTTCAGAATTCTGGTGTATTCAATTAGATCTTTTAGAGACTTTTGAAAAGTTTACATGTATTCAATTGAGACTTTTAAAGACTTTTAAAAAGTCCTTAAAAGTCTCAAAGGTATTCAATTAATACTTTTTGAGAGTCTCTATAAGTCACCCTGCATTCAAAATATGAAAATTTTATGAGACTTTTTAAATTGTGAGACTTTTAGAGATTTTTCTAACAAAATTACAAAGAGAAAGTCCCAACAGAAATCTCATCAATATTGATAAGATTTTGCTGGACTTATGTAACTCTCTTCACGCTTTCTTTCTTTTTTTCTTTCTAACACGACTTTGTATCTCATATCACTTTCATGCTCTATTATTTTGCTCATTTATTTTGATATAACTAGATCTTTTTATTTTATATATTTTTTATTATGGTTATTTTATGAATGTATACCTTTATTCTTTCATTTTGTTATCTTGTGAATTTGATTTTTCAAAGGTTAAAGGCTTCCATAGTTTGCACTTGCAAATAATTTATTTGTTCTCTCTTTTTATTTGTCAATGTTTATTTTTTAATATTAATAAAATTAATTTATTTTCTAATAGTTTATTTGTTGATATTTAATCATTTTGAATATTATTGATAACTTTATAAAATACAATTACTGTTTTTCGACAATGTTTGTATCTTCCATAGTTCGACTCGTTGAAGCTCGGATTGATTTGCTCGTTTAATAAATCTAAAATCTTAAACAATTTATTAGTGAATAACTCATTTCGCATAACAATGAGTTGATTCATAAGTTTTTAGAGAATTAAAATATAAAATATTTTTTTTTTATTTATTCTTCTTGATATTAGTTATTATGTTACATTTGTTAATGTTTCATTCAAACATAAGCTAGCTTGCAAGTTATTTCAAGGAATTGTAAATTTCTTATATTCAATCTAGTGCATATTAAAAAGCACCTTGAGATTATATATTTCTTCGGTTGACTTAGGTATCAACTATTTGAATGTGTATTAGCTAGTTATCTTGTTTAGTTACCTTGTTGGCAGGTCTTCTATCAAGATGTCCAATGTTTTGACAGTTACACTCATTGATATTCCACAAATATATATATTTTCATACCAAATATCATACTTTAAAATATAACTATGAATTGGCTTTTTAGCCGTATTCAAATTCAACATATACATTTTAGCCATGTTTTGTAAAAGTTATGATTTAGTCATTTTGCCTTGTTAAAAGTCTATTTTATTCTTAATGACTGATATTTTAGAAAAACTCTTATCTCTCATATTTCTTGCAAAATTAAGGTTTTTCAAACTTAGATTATTGTTGAGGTGGTCTTATTTTTATTTATTTATTTATTTTTGTTTATGACTTTGAATATTATAAATTATTTGTTTTAATTTTTGTTGGTCTTTTGAGATATATTTATATTGAATTACTTTTGTAATTAAATAATCTATTGTTTCGACTACTTTCTTTTTATTTCATATATTTCAAGTTTTTTTATCTTGTATTATTTTGCATTATGATATTTCTTATAATTCCTAAGGTTCGTTGCTTGCTCTGATACCACTAAACGTATACTAAAATTGCGGAAATCCAGTTAAAAAACTGGACATATTATTGTCTGTATTTTTTTTTTTAATTTTGAAATTCTTGATTCTATGTTATCTAATTTTTCTAATACCAATTCTAAACTGAGTTTTTCTTGTTATTCTTTTTGCTTTTCTTAAACAATCTAACAATCCTTGATTATTTCTTAAACTGAGTTTTTCATGCGCATATTCATTAATTTTATTTCTAAATTCTACTAGATCATTTAATAAGGATCTTAAATCCTTTAAACTAGCTAGTTTCCCTTTTTGAGTGATAGTTTTTCTTGTAGGTCTTATAAGGACCTCTTTTGTAACTTGGTGCACTAGATGGTCCCATTTTCAAATTTTAGATTTTATTATTTAAATATATTATTAATTAGCTTAATTATTCTATTTGCTTATTTAATTTTTCTATCTATGTGTTCTTATTATATAAACTACTACTGCGTTGCGGTTTTTCAATTTCTCGTTTTTTTACTAACTTCTTTTCAAGTAGTTTTCTTAAATTTGTAGGATTATTGAGATCGTCTACTATGTTACCTTAAATATAAATCTTTTTTAATTATATCATTTTAATAATAGTGTTTGTTTCATTAAATATTTTTACGTATATATTCTTTCTTGATTTTGATACTTCATACTTAAACTACTATTACTTAATGCATAAGTTATTCTATAATAGATAACCATAGATATTTCTTGATTCCGTTAATGTTTTTTCTTGAAAATTACATATTATTCATATGCAGTTATTAGTTTTTTTTAGTTAATAATGGTATAGGAAATTGTAATGATATATTAAACTTGATTACTCCATATCATATATCTCCTTCTATTTCTCCTAACTTTCATTATTCATTTTTTCTTTCTTTTTTTTTCGTTTTTGTTTTTTGTTTAGACATGTGTAGACCAATGATTTTTTTGACCTAATTAAGATTTTGACTGTATACAGGTTGAAGATCAGACTTTAATCCTCTACCCTTCTGGAGTGTTTTTTCTTTAAAAAAATAATAAATTAATGGATTGTTAAACATGTCACATGCGGCTCACGTTACTGTTTTTTATTGAATTATGAATTTTCGGCGAGTTGAAAACCTTTTAATAACTTTTTTTAAACATAAAAGACGAAAGTCAACACCGCTATTCGAAGGAGACGAATTTGTGCGAAACATACGAGACGAAAATTGCAATTTGCTCTATATATTTTCCAAAAATTGACATATTTGTGATAGGGCCAAACCCGGTTCAGATTTGTGACGGCTCCTCTATAAATCCGGTTCAAACCCGGTTCAGATTCGCTAAAGGTTCTGCCGTTCTGATAGGGTTTTGTGTCTTCTCACTCGTCTCTGTACGCTTCGGGTTTGAATTTTCCACCCTTCAATCAGTTTCCCTGTCATAGGTAATCTCATTACTGACTGGAACAACACATTACACCTAATCCTTGAACAAAATGAATTTACACCGAGTTTTGTGTAATACTTGATTCTGTTGTCTTTGAAATACAGGGCTCACTCGTTTAATCGTGGCGCTTTAATCGTTAATTGCTGTCTGCTGCCTTTTCATTTGCTGAGAGTCTCTGTAAGAACATTCGGCATGACCATGAGGTGGTTCTTGAGCAAGCACACGCTCACCCGCATATCGAATATTAATGGTAGGGTATTGTCTTCGCTGTCCTCTGGTTACAGATCCAATTCAGCTGCTGACGTCTCCAAACCCTATTTATTTCACCCGACGAGAGCTCGTCACGCCTCATCTCTCGTCGATGGTCCTAAAAGCCCTAGCTTTGACAAATCGTTCGGTGGGTTTGGTCACACTTCGCAGCAAGCCAATCTGGGTGGCTCGTCGAAAGGTTTGGAAGCCGAATCAGAGAATGATGCCACCATGAATGAGTTCCTATCTAGATTCGTCTGGGTTATGCGTAAAAAACTCGTCGAAGCTTATCCTGGGTGTGACAAGGCCACAGTCGATGGTATGCTGGTGGTTATTGTGGAGAGTGTTGTATCAGAGATGGAAAAGGGTGGCCTCGGGAAATTGGCAGGGCCTGCTGCTTCAATGCCATCAGACGATTTCAGTGAGGATTTGTGGAGAACAGTGTGGGAAGTTAGCAGTGTGGTTCTGCAAGACATGGAGAAAGAGAAGAAGAAAGAGAAAATGAAGAGTTTTCTTCAGTCGGAGGAAGTCAAGGAGATGTACAGGTTTGCTGGTGAAGTGGGCATCCGTGGGGACATGCTGAGGGAGCTTAGGTTCAAGTGGGCCCGCGAAAAAATGGAGGAAAGCGAGTTTTACCAGAGCTTGGAACACCTCCGGACAGAAGAATCACTAGCAGAATCCCAGGAAACAAAGGAACCGAGACAAGAAAATTTTGGCGGAGAAGAGGCTAATGATGCTGCAGTTGAAGGAGAAAAGAAGACTGTTTCTCTCCCGAAAAGACGTGGGAAGATTAAGTACAAGATTTATGGACTTGACTTATCAGACCCGAAATGGTCTGAGGTGGCTGATAAGATTCATGAGAGAGGTGAGATTATGTGGCCAAAGGGGCCAAAGCCAATATCTGGTAAGTGTAAGCTTGTTACTGACCAGATTCTCAGTCTACGAGAAGAGGACGATCCTGCTCCATTGTTAAGCGAATGGATAGGTCTTCTCCAGCCTAGTAGGGTCGACTGGATTAATATTCTTGATAAATTGAAGGATAATACTCCTAATCTATACTTTAAGGTAAAACTTTGATTTTCCTTCCAACTTTATCTCGGAATTGCTTGAGACATTGTGTGATACGTGGAAAAAGTCATTTGATTTACATTCAGAACATTGCTCGATTTTGTTCTGATATCATGATATACTGTGTATGCTGAATTGCTGATGTTTTAATATATATAATTGTCTGCTCATGCATGCATGAATAAGTGAAATGTTCAATATATCAGGTAGGACTATGTCTTTCAAAATTCAAACTTAAGGATTTGCTGAGTGCATGGGAGAGATTGCATCATAACAGATAAAGTAATACCTTGGCTTATTCATGTGTATGTGGAACACTGGCCTCGTGTGTATATGAAACACTGGCCATTTCATTTTTATGATGCTTTTATAAGTAGCATTTGTAGTGTCTTACACTGATCTCGTGTGTATAATGAAACACTGGCCTTTTATTTTCTCCTTCCTTTTCTTTTTTATGATGTTTTTATCAGCAGCATGTGTAGTTAGTGTGTGTGTATGTGTGTGTGTGTATATATCACGAAATGGAGATCGCTGCCTTGAGCTCTGCGGCGCCATGTGTCCATGACAGGTCATCATTATTCCTTATGGTGCATATTTAGCACACAGATGGTTACTTGCATGAGAAATGTCAACATTTCCCTTGTCCAGAATTGAAGTCACAATTGAATTGGTGTGATGTTGATTGAATACTGATAGTAATATGTTCAGGAAATTATCCCAAAGTACTTGGTAGCATTCCATGACATCACGATTATAGTTTTGTGTTTCTCAGATGCTATCATTTGCTCCTTAGTTCTGCGAATGTGGCTGTAGGGCTGTATGTTCTAATTTGATCCTAATTTCCTTTGCTTGGATACTGATGTCATACACAATTTTTTTAAAACTATTTCTAGCTCATGTCATGATGAATGGAGTTGATCATACAATCTTCCTTCAAATCTTTGCATCCTGAGTTGAATAACATTTACCGTCATTCTTCAGATTGCAGAACTTGTACTTGCTGAAGAATCCTTCCAAGCTAACATCCGTGACTTCACAAAGCTGATTGATGCTCTTGCTAAACAAAATCGCTTACAAGACGCTGAAAGAATTTTAAACAAGATGAACAAAAACGGCATTTTACCCGATGTAATCGCGTTAACAGTCCTTGTCCACATGTACTGCAAATCAGGAAACCTCGATCGAGCAAAAGAATCATTTGACGCCTTGAGGGCCCACGGGTTTCAGCCGGATGAGAAGGCGTGCAATTCTATGATCATGGCCTATGTGAATGCCGGTCAACCAAAACTGGGAGAGTCCTTGATGAGACAACTGGAAACAAGGGATATGAGACCCACAAAAGAGATATTCATGGCCTTGATCAGATCTTATGCCCAGGCTGGCGATGTCAACGGTGCAGATCGAATTTCAACCAGCATGCAATTTTCTGGAATAAATCCTGATCTGGAATCCTGCACATTGCTGGTCGAGGCATACGGACGAGCTGGCGACCCGGAACGCGCTAGGTATAATTTTAATCAGATAACAAAACTCGGACACAAGCCAGATGACAGATGTACGGCCAGCATGATAACTGCATACGGGAAGAAGAATCAATTAGATAAGGCTTTGGACCTATTATTGGAGCTTGAAGGACAGGGCTTTGTGCCAGGGGTGGCTACTTATACGGTTTTGGTTGACTGGTTTAGCAAGCTGAAGCTGTTTGAAGAAGCTGAACAGATTTTGGATAAGATTTCCCAACAGGGTGAGGCTCCACCGTTTAGGATTCATATAAGCCTCTGTGACATGTACATTAAGGCGGGAGCTGAGAAGAAGTTGCTTCAAGCTCTGGGAGTTCTGGAATCGAAAATTGATCAGTTGGAGCCAGAGGATTTCGAAAGAATTATAGGTTCGCTTGTGGAAGGTGGTTTTGTGCAGGATGCTCAGAGGATACATGGGCTGATGGAGGCTCGGGGGTTTGTGCCGTCCAATCAATTGAAAATAGCTCTGATGGCGTCTCAAGCGGTGGGAAAGAGTAGTAAGAGGAACAAGTTCTCGCTTGGGAGGGAGAAATGATCTTAGGAACAGTAAAATGATGATTTGTTTGCTGGGGTTGTCGTTTGTGAGTGGCGCTCTCTCCTAGTCATTTTAGTAAGTTTTATAGCTTTTCCTCTCTCTCTCTCTCTTTCTCTCTATGTTTTCTTTTTCTTTTTTGAGTTTTTTGGCTGTTGTTCAGTCAAACAAGCAGTGAGCCTGATCAGCTATAGAAACATGTTAAACTGGTCAGGTGCCGATATCTAAAGCAGTAGGTTGCTGTTTGTTGCAATAACATGAACTGTGTTGTAAGAATTCTATTTGGTAAATTTCTGTTCAAAGATGGTTGGCATGCCTTGTGACGGTATAAGTTTGGCCTTGATTTCCAGGGGTCGAATAATTAAAAGACGGAATAGGATAAAATTAAAATCGGGATATGGTTATTGTTTTCTGCTGTGCTGTTTGACTCTTAACAGTTTTCCGCATTGATCGATACATAGAGCTTCTTTGGAATGTTATTGTTGTCCATTACGAAAATACGTCTTCAGAAACTATACTGCAACATACGAAGGTATATTGATTTCTGATACACTGTCATGCTTGATTGCTACCAACACTATTTTATTTTTCTTAGCATAATTAACTTTTGTTTCATTTTGGAAACTTTGTTGATGATATATGCACGAGTATGCAAGTGCCTAGCACATATTTCTCTAACTTTTATTGATCTGTATATTTGTGATCTAAGTTTGCTATGAATATAGGAGTTTGCATTTTTTTTTATTTTTTTTTCTGGGATATAGATAGGTGCAAGCATGTGATTTCAGTTGAACTTTCTTGAAACTACTCACAAGCCATTCTTCACTCCATTATAAAAAGAAGGAAGAAAAAGATTTTCATTGTTTTTATTTGAAGTTATAAGCCGCCTGTTCTGGTTGGTGTGGCTTGTTCATCAGATGCCTGTAAGATCTAGTAATAATCTCCTGATATAAACTCTTTGAGTTGCTTCACTTCTCCATGTTGCTGCTCCACTACTGCTCGAACCACATCCACAATAGATATCATTCCCACAATCCTCCCGTCTATAACTGGGACATGCCTTATGTGATTCTCTGTTAAACGTGAATGTTTGTGTCATTTTTAGCCCTTTGCAAAATCATGAATCTATATGCCTCTCACTTTCATATCTGAATATGCCTATTTCTCCATAGAATATTGTTCTTGTATTTGATCATTATTGGATTTAAAATAATTATCAAAGTACATGCCTGACATGAGCTGCATTGCTCGCAGAATGCTTGTGTCTGATGTTACTGTTATTAGCTTATCCTGCAAGTAAATTAAATCATTAAGGGTGATTATATAGAGTCAAAAGAAGTAGGAAATTTTGGTCTGCAAGAACATGAAGCTGAAGAAAAACAACTTGAACCTGTTCGGTCATGATCTCCCCGACCTTTGTGTATTTAGAGATCCTATCTTGTAGGACCATCTTCCGCAGGTAGTCTGTTTTGATATTGTAACGCAATATTAGAAGGTTAATAATAATGTTTGTGATGTTTTAAGTCAACTTACATCAAGTTATATTTCTTGAATTAGATTTGCAACAAAAGTCAGATAGTTCTTGTTAAACATCTCCCTTTAATATGTAGACAGATTACAGACAACATCTGAGGTATAGCCTAATTGTCGAAAGAAAAACTAATAAAACTGTATGAAACTTAGTTATCTTTCAAAGTAATGATTGCCCATGATACATTTATTTAACTCTCATTTACAAATTGCAATACCTCGTTCTGTGAGAATTCCTGCTATATGCTGTTGTTCACCGGGCTTCAGAACCACCAATGACCCTATGTTGTTCTGTGCCATCTGCAAATTGTGACACAAGGTTATCTTACTGTTTCTGAAGATTGAGGGTTATAATTATATCTTTCTACTTGTTAGTTTTCAAGAGCTAAATAAAGAAATGAAATTCACCCGCTTCACGGCATCATAGACAGTTTCGTCTGTGTTGCACCAAAGCCAAGACCCAACTTTTTCTTGTCCTTTTGTCATTAGAACTTCTGCTACTGTTGTGTTCTGCAACCCTTTGTCCGAGATTGTGTGCGATTGTGCTGCTTTTGCGCCAGTAAGACCGTTTTGATTATTTTTTGGAGAAAATAGTGTGGTTTGTTGTTTGTTATATGAGTGCACCTTGCATTTGTGGTAATACCCGATTGCTTGGCGGAAAATTTGCATTCTCCTTTTTTCTTGCCTATAAGAATCTGAAGTTATGGTCAGCTTTGCTCTTAAGGTTATAGCTGCTACATTTGTAAGGGTTCGTGTGGTGCACGGTTTAAGATTGACATTGCAAATTCTGTTTGCATATTTTCACTTTCTTTTGGTTGATCATTTCATATGCTGAGGATACCTAGGAATATAGAAGTCTGGATGAGTGATAAACTGATAATTGGATGGAAGGACCACCCCGGAGATTTAGCACGATTACAGAAAAAGTCGGTCAACTTTCAAATTTGCAACTGACCCCCTGACATAGACTCATAGTTGATATTTGATTCCATTGTACAAATTGCATAAATTGGGTACGTGTAGAGTTGATCATTTATATAAAAAAAATAAATCCCTTAGCATATCTGTAAGTTTTAAATGGTAACTGAACTGTTTCAGTAAGACTAATAAAAAAAGGAATGATCTATTGTTTAAGTATCATATTTGAATGAAAGTATGTATATTCGTTGGAAGAGTGTAACTACCTAATCATGATACAGTGTAATATGAAGTCTACTGAGAAAATTTGAGAAAGTAGGGGAAAAGGAATATTGAACCCAAAATGGCTATAATTCAAGAAACAGAAAGTTGGTATATCAATGGATTAGTTCATTCATCTTTGCATGAAATAGGACGATAACACAAGATGTCTATATTCTAACAAAGAAAGTTGAGTTGCAATGTCAATTAGAGTAGCTTCACAAAATATATTACCTACCTGCAGAGGAAAGAGTTTTCGCCCTGGGGCTTGTCAATTTCAGGAAAATTAGAGCTTATTCCCTTTTAATTGCAATCAACTTAGATGTTTTATTGCCGTTGATGATTAGTTAGTAACTTGTTTGAGTCTGTTTATGTGTTCTTTCCTTGTATAACACACAAATTGTTTCCTACTTATTACATTATATGGCTGTTTTTCCTTCCGATGAAGGCAAAACAAGAATAATCTTCCAAAAGGTAACCCAGTCTAAAGGGTGGTTAAAAGAATAAGTACCAAATTCAAGAAAAGGGCAAAACCTAAGAATGAAATATAACCTTAACAAAAATTCTTAACTTATTGTGCATAGAAATACTAATACAAAGAATTCCCTGATTTTTGACAAGCAATCTTGATTCCCTGTAAAATGCCAAAGGATCAAGGAAGGTTTAACCAAATTTAACAAGCTAAACAACACATACGGAAGTAGCCACAATTTCCCATTTAGTAAAGCTACTATAATAAGATGACTCATTAGCCTTTTGTTGCATATCAAACCAAATTCAAACACTATCNGAAAAAAAAAAAAAACTAGCCCTATTTTCTCATCCATGGCAGATAGAAGACAATCGTACTCCTTCCGTTTTTGGCCCACCAGGCGAACCCAAACACCATCCCCACCACCGGCCACCACCAATTCTCCTCCAGCCGCTAGGCCCACACCTCAATCCCGGCCCATTAGCCGCCAGGCAACCACCAATCGTCCAGCCGAAATTCAAAGTCCTTCACGACCACCATCGACTACTAATCTCACCCCAGCTGCTCAATCCCGACCAGTTAGCCGCCAGACAACCACCACCAACCTTCCAGCCGAAACTCAAAGTCCTCCACAACCACCATCGACTACTAATCCTCCGCCAACAACCGAAAAAGTTAGCGGCAGGCCTCCAAATTCCAACTCTCCACCTCCAACACCAAGCATGCAAAAAATTAGTCCTCCAAACGAGACTAAAACCTCATCACCATCAACTCCCATCAAACCCGCGTCTTTATCAAATAAATCCAAATCACCTCCTCAGACTTCATCATCTCCATCTCGCCTGGCCCCACAAGCTTCACCAATCAAGCCTCCATCACCGTCTCATAACTCTAAGGCCTCCTCCACTCCACAGACACGTTCCCTATCTCGTTCAACCTCTAAGCAAACATCCTCGAATTCTCCCAAAAAGCCTCCTAATTCCCCATCAAACAAACCAAACCTTATGGCACCTCAACAAGAACTTCAACCAAAAGCTGAGGCCAAATCCAATACCGCTGCTAACAATGATATCAATGGCACCAAAACCCAGAATGAGCTTCTACCACCTGAAAATTTGCCGTCGTCCATCATTAATGACGAGCATGAACCTCTAACCAAATTAAAGACAGCACCTGAAGAAACTATGCATGTGAAGGAAGTGGTGCAGGCTATAGAAAACAAAGATGATGAAAAGATAACAACGGAGGCCAACAGTATTCCCAATCCAATGTCTAGCTCTCAAGGATTGACTCCAAGCGAGGAGAAGCCAGAGGTGCTGCTAGAGAGAAAGGAAACTTTACCTACCTCTCTTCCCAGTCTAGAGCCAACCAGCAACAACACAGCTTCTCAACCGAAGAAGATAATGAGCACAGTTGAAGGCATTCGTGATAAAGCTGCACAAGAAAATGGAGAACATATCTCCTCAAACAAAGAAATCAAGAACGACGTCTCGAAATTTCTCAACCAAATGGCCCTCGGAGACCCCAAAAATGCGTTTAACGAAAAAAACGTGAGCATCATTACGCTCGCGGGGGAAAATAGAGGTGCCTCAATGCAAATGGGGCCCACTGCTCAAAAAGACGGGCCGCCAGTCCACATAAGCAGGGGATACAAGGTCAACCCTGGTGAAATTGCAAACACAACAAACAATGGAGAAGAAAGCTCAAAAGGGAAAAAACCGTCTGACGATGCAAAAGCAACAGCAGAAGGCCAACCAACAGAGGCGTATGTGAATAACAACACACAAGGAATCAATAACTCTATTGTGTTCAATGCCTCAATTGCCGAAAGAAATCCGGGGGTTCACTTTGTTGTCACTCATGTCCCAAAGGAGTCAATCTGGACTGCTGCAGAGAAAATAAGCCCAGCAGAGGCAAGAAAGGCGGAGTACAACATGACACAGGCGGAGAAAATTACCTATGACCCCTTGGTGAGAAGAAGGTGCTTGAGAGGCCTTCTCTTGGAAACGAGTGATTCTGATATAGAGAACCCTGAAAAGCCTAGGCGCCATGGTTGTCGAGTTGGATGCCAGCAGAAGGAAAAAGAGAACAATGCAGATATTTCCTGAACATTTTAGATCACACAGAATTGTATATGTAGTGGGCATATGGTCGTCCAAATACAAACACAATAAACAATCCTGTCGTTTTTTAAGTATTTATGATTATGATTTATGACGAGCCACAAAAATATGCTCCCTTCATTGTATCGTGTGCTGTAATAGGCAATTAGTTGTGAATCCTCTAAATGTAATGCACCAATTCTGACACAAGTAGTCACCAAACCAAGCATCAGTATATAAACAGTTTATTTGTTCATAATACAAAAGCACAAACCACAAAACTACATCCACAACTAAAGCTCAATCATTGGATGAACATGAGAAGACTGAAAAAGACATTAAAAAAAGAATATATACAACCCATTTTCAGTAGTAGCAACTTAGAAACCATTTAACAAAATGCCTACTCACAGACTGGCTTTGTGTCAAAGGTGCTCAAACAGACAGCAAACGCCTGAAATGCAGAAAGAGGGTACCGATAGTCCATGGTAAATATATCTTTTCCAATCTTCCCAAATTGCAAGATCACTTTATCTTGTTCCGAAGCTGGAATATTCTGAGACAGGTCCACAGCTGCCACCAGCTGAAAGTTCTTCACGGACGCCACTGTAACACGTCCTCTGAAGTTCAAACACCAACACTGGAGCTGCTCGTGCCATCTTGGAGTTTTGTTTCTCAATATAAGTGGTTCGCTAGCATTTCCAGTAGAGTCATCAGTGCTGGGTCGAAAAACTGAACTTGAACGAGAATTTTGTTTTCGTTCATTGGGAGTTGCTACGGAGCAGAAGGATCCATCAAGGCCATTATTTTTATTATATGATGAGGGAGTAGGAACAAATCCACCTTCTTGAATTGCCGAGAAAGGAATTGAGTTCATAGTGCAACGCATTCTTCTCGGCCCTCTTGTTCGGAGGACATTGAGATCGTAAGCTATGGTGGCCACGTTATAGTTGCAAATGGGCAGTCTTGGAGCCACCTTCTTGGAAGAAATCCTTTTCCATGACCAGCCATGAGATTGGATAGTAGTTGCAGGGTTGCTTAGAGGCCGACAGTCGTGAATAAAAAACTTTGATCCGAAAAAATTGGACCTGGTAATGAAAAACAATTGTGTATAAATGATTTAATGATAATAACATGTTGATGATATGAACAGGAGGCTGGCTTAAAAAATATGCACCTCAATTTCCCAGCATAATTATCGCCAGTCTGAGAAAAATCGTTCTGAGCAAAAGATATCAAAAGGTCTGTTTTAGTGGCTTTCTTGACCCTTTTTGCTGCCAATAGCAATTTACTCACATCCCCTGAAAGAGCTGTATAAAACACAAACGTTCCAGTCATTTGACATGATGACTTTAAGCATTAGAAGAAACCCAATCCTCATGAAGGGAAAACAATATGAGCATGTAAATGAAAAGCTTATCCGCAAAAAGAAAAAAAAAACGATACTTTCTTTTTGCCTAATTTTGGATTTCATATTTCATCAACGACAGACAGAAGATCATAAGTTACCTGGACTCAAGCCAAGGTATAACCGATATGTAGATGTTACCCTATCCCTTCTGATAAAGCACTGAATAGGAGAATCTCTTGGCCCCGGCTAACACAAATTTCCCAGAATTAAAATCAAAGACGGATATCAATAATAATAACAAGGGGAATTCCAAAAACATTCAAGAAAGTTAAACTTACCAGCTTAAGCGACATTGGAAATGTGAATAGACCACATTCTTCAGGAGTCTTAACAATTTCTTTAGTAATCTCTCTCCAAGATTTGCAAACCGCAGCACAAGCAACCACAGCTGTACGAGCCGGCCATGTAGTCTCACTGGCCTCTACTCTACCGATAATATCAAGAAGCAGCTCAGAAGGCAAGTTGGCCCACGGGCTTTGTTTTGCCACGGGATATGAAGAAGATGATGATCCATCGGCATTAAAATGCAAATCTCGGTGGTCTAATTCACACTTGTGGTTGACTGGTCGCTTTAGCTTGCTATCCGTACTATTTTTCCCCTTAAGATCTCGGAAAATGGATTTAAATGGCATTTTTTTTTTTTTTNCTTTTTTTTTTTTTTTGTTCGGATTGACTCTGTGGATACAATTCAACCGAACTTTATAGTATCAGAGTACTAAAGTGAAGGATTATACAAATTTACACATTATAACACAGCAAAACAGATGTGAGTAGCGCTTGCATTTGAAAATGTGTTCTCACATTCGAAACCTGAACAGCAGAGGGTGAAAAAGAGAAAATCGGGCCTTTAAATTGAAAAGGCCTGACAGCAGAAGGAATAATTCTTGATATGCCTATACGTGATAAATTACAAATATGCTTTCAATGCTGATGAATTCAGTAGCCCACAAGCTCCAAATCCAAACAAGATGCGTTTTTTATGAGAAATCAGAAGCATTATGCTCAACAAAAACTCACATCCACTGCATTTATGTTCAGAAAAAAAAAAACAATGCATATACACAAACAACTGAGAATGTAAAGGAAATTCATGAATACCTAATCCCCAAATTGCTTAGCGAAAGCCAAACCCTAAAAAGAAGACCTTTTCACGTTTCAATGTCTCCTGAATCCAAAACACGAATGCACACGCACGCAGAGGCATACACGTACGCCTATGTACATAGATGAGCGCAAAATTTCTCCACAAACACCCAATTTTCTCGGGGAAAATAAAATAAATACAATGCGGTGGATCAGAACAGAGCCCGACAATTACTTGAAGAATCCCACCGTGTCCCCGCAATCTTTTAGGCTTTTAAACGAAAAAAAAAAATGAAAATTTTGCTCGAATAATTAAGGAAAGTACACCTAATACCTATTGAAATTTCTACTTTCCGGGGTCAAAATATATAAATTAGAGCAGTGGGACACTCAAAACAACAGGGGATGCCGCAGGCCACCGCCACAGCCACCGCCACTATCGAGACGAGGATAGCAACAAAGCGTTCCTCGGATTCCCCGACCTTTTTTTGCGCGTTTCTTTCTTTATTGCTAACATCTTTTTTATTGCTCTTTC